ACAGTAATTGTTCGTTCTTCTCCATTCAAATCTACATTTTGAAATAAGCACTTAACTTCACTGACGGACAGACTGACAGACTATTATTTATTTTGTATTTGTTGACGTTTTAAAGGTACCAAATTATGGTTTAATTGAAATAAATGTTTTGACTTTAATCATTTTACTTGGTCGAGTGGTTGAGGTGGTTGCTAGGTATATTATCTTGGGTTGAGTTTGGTTCGGATTATCTGATAAAAAGGAAAATTTTATTAACACGATTTTCGAACTTCTCTACATATGACACACCTATCATAGTTGAGGTAAATAGTAAATTGAGTTTACCTGTTATTACTGTTTTTGAAATAGTTTGCGTACAGAGTGTCTCTAAAACTCGCCAATTATTTTGTCTCGGTGATAGAGGCCCACATGGTTTTAAACTGGTCGGGGAAAGAAAAAAACCCTTAACTCGTCGAGTACCGGTTTTGTAGACACAATTATAGAACAATAGGTTGCGGTCACCGGTGACCGCTTGGTGTTTGACAGTTTAATACAGAAAACGTTAGTAGGTACTCTGGATATACGATATCCTTCATGATTATAACATTTTTGACTAGCGTGACGAAAATTTTATCACTACAATTAAAAAAAAACCTCAAAATACTAACAGCTTTTACACAAAATCAACAGCTATATTACACAGGTTTAGCAGAACAATAGGAACATTCTGCCACTTACAGATTTACACGAGTACTGACTTATACTATACTATTGTCTTGATTGTTTGAAATGTTGAACGGATATGTTGCCTATGTTCAACAGTGGACGTTCTATGGCTGATATGGTGATGATGATGGTCTATAAGTCTTTTCTTTTTGTATTCAGGAATGGTTGGAGACTCTGGCGACTATAAACCCAGAAGAGGTGACGTTCATTGACTTCGTACAGGCGGGGACTAAACTAGCGACACAATTGAAACAAGAGGTATTTTTTTTTTTTGATGGGGAAAATTATCACTTCTCCCCCTTAGGTTATGTGAGAGGGAGTGTCAAATTCTAACTGACCATAAACCAATCCGTTCATACTTCTGCACTTCGAGACGGAACCCCGGCAACCAGTTAGGCCTTCTGCAGCTCCGTATCGGACATCAGCCCTACTGAGCCTCATCTGTGGTGGTCTTATGGCAGCGAGCCCAACTTACGTAATACCTAACATAACTTTTAACCAAAATTAC